GCGCGCGGAGCGCGCCAGGGGCGGCGCCAGAGGCGCCGCCGGGGGGTCCCAGCGCGGATCCAAGGAATTCGCGCGGAGCGCCAAAAGTTTATGCTGATGTGTTTTTTCCTTCTTCGCATAGCCCACCCTGGAATCTCATGGTAATCTCCCTTGAAGGGGCCCTAAGACACACAATGAAATACACAGAAATAACAGGTTTCCCCATACTTCCCTACATGTTCTGGGTTTCTGTCTTCCTCCCCACTTCCAATATTTTCCCATATTTTCCCGGGGAATCGAAGATTAATTGTGTCTGTGTGGTTTCTTCCCTCCTGAAACCTCCCTGTCCCTCTGCCACCACCGCGCCGATCCCAAGGACCCTCGCCGGGCCCTGGGACCATCCAGAAGCGATCCATATAGGAGGAACGAGCCGGTCCCAGGGGATGGGTCATATAGGTCTCCATCGGGAGCGGCCAAGAGGGGGGGGGTCCAAGAGGGGGGGTGCAAATCATGGCCATGTGCGCGGCCCAGCAGGGGGGCCCAGGGACGCAATGAAATACGGAGGGGCGCCATGAGATCTGGGGAGACAGCATGGCCCACGCCGTGATATCCAACTCCCCCTAGTCATCACCCCCCTCTTTCCCGCCCCCGACTCCAGGGGGTTCCGCTGTGAGTACAGTAGGGGCGTGGACCTAAGGAACCCTAAATAAGGAACGAGGCCCCTTTTTTCCATAAGCTAACCTTCGATTTCCTGTCGACAACATAAGGGAAGCCTGAGGCAAGCCGTGAAACAATCAGGGGACACGGAGCCCCTCCCCAACGAAAAGGGTTCCTTCTTCAGGGCCCCGACTGTCACTCACGAGGCCGGGCGTGGTGACTCTTTCCTATCGCGGGGCGTTGCTCCCTTCGGCCGCCGGGGCCCGCCATCGGGCCCATATAATTAGGACGACCACCAACGGCTCCGGGACGCACAACACGCCAAGGCGGGTTGTGCCCATCGGGGGCCACATGCGAACCCTGCCCCTACCCCCCACGATTTCCGAAGGGCGAGGGTGGGGTTCGGTTCGCTCGGGAGCTCCCGAGCGAAGTGAACCCCACCCTCCCCCTCGGAAATCGTGGGGGGTAGGGGGCAGGGTTCGCCTGTGGCCCCCCGGTCTGGCCTGACTGGGCTCAGCGGTGGGTTGCAACTGCCCAAACTGGCTCAGGAGGGTGAGATTCCTCCGCTGATAGGGCTCCGCCCACATCTGCTGGATCTGCACCGACCTCCTTAGGCCGGATCTCTACGTTGGCATCCACGGATGCCTGCCCCATCCCTGTCGCACCCCCCGCGGTGATCCACGAAGGCGAAGTGGGCTCTGGGGCCGCGGATGAATGGTCAAGAAACACAAGGCGGGGGGGGGTCTTTTGGAAAGACGGGGGCCAAGCTTGGCAGCGCCGCGGAGGAGGCTCCCAGGTGGGCCTCGACTTCGGATCCGCCACATATTTTGGGCGATCCCGCCGTAAGTGGCGCAGGAATGTCCGCCGTGCTCCATGCTCCATTTGATGCTGGTTTTCTGGGCTGCTTTCCGTCGCTGCTGCCGTCATGCCTCTGCGGAGATATCCGCCCGACCTTTCTGAGGCGGGAATGTCCAGTAGGGGTGCAGTTCCGACACACTTATACTTCAGAGAATATACCAGCCAGCAGTACTGCTCCTTTGATGCAAGCACGGCGGTTCCGAAGCCAGGGCTCCTGGAGGCCCGGAGAGCGCTCCTGGGAAGCCACCCGACTCATCGGAAACCCCAGTGTTCTTCCCCTGAGACCCGACCACGCGAGCAAGTTGCAACATCGGGGAAACCGCAAGGTACGGATACCGCTAGCCCCCACACCTCTCCTGGGGTGCGCTCTGACCGGGATCTCGAAGCGAAGCCCGCGGTGGCGGCGAGGGCCTCCCAGGAGGCCCAAAAAGGGGAAAACGATACGGGTATGGGTAGGAGCAGCAGGAGGAGGGAAGGGGAAGCGAGGAAGGATGGAGCAAGGAGAGAAGGGACGAGGGAAGGATTGTTGGAGACAGGGGGTGGGGGGAGGGAGGAGGGAGGAGGGAGGGAGGAGGGAGGGAGGGGGAGGGGAAGGGGGAGGGCCTTTTGCTCCTCTGCAACGCAATGACGAAGCACGACGGGGAGCCCAGGCCCCAACCCTGCGGCATCCCTCGAGCCGCATCGCGCGGTGAGGGCCCCGGGGGCCCGGGGCAGCCGGGCGGAAGAGCGCCCAAGTGCGAAGAGCAATCGCGATCGCGCGGATGTCGGGGTCTTCGCGATTCGGGAGCGGCCAAGAGGGGGGGGAAAACAAACCTCCCTCGCTTTTGACCACCCTCGCTTCCAGGGTACCAAACGGTGCCAAAATTGCGGCTGTACTGGTCAGGCCACTTGACGAGGAGGCGCGTGGTATGGTTTGGTTTGCCTGGAAGCGAAAGCGGGGGAGGTAATTCACGCTCTGAAGAGGGGGTGTCCAAGAGGGGGGTGCAACTCATGACCGGCGGCATGTGCGCGGCCCAGCGGGGGGGGGGCATGGGGCGTAATGTAATAAGACGAGGCGCCATGAAATCTGAGGAAAAATCATGGCCCGCGCCACGAAACTGACCCCGCCCTAGTCATCACCCCCCTCTTTTCCGCTCCCGAGCGATGACCAATTCCTGGGCCCCTCTTCACGGCAGGTTCGCGCGGCGTCGGCGCGCGCAGTAGCTGGTGACACCGCGTCGATCGTTCAACCTTGAACCCATCGCGGCCCCGATCGTTCAAGGGTAAATTCCGTCGGGCCGTGTGGTGTTACCGTGTCCCGCGGTGCTTCTGCGTCGCTCATCGTGCGGAATTCTGCCATGTGTTCGCAGACAGTCAATAACGCATCATAAGGATGCACGGTCAGGATGCACAGGCCTCGGAAGGCCGTGTCGAAGCTCTTTGGAGCAGGGCGCGGCCGACGAGAGTGGCCAAGGATGGGCCCAGGAGGCAAGGATGCCAGGGCACCCCTCGGAAAGCTTAGGGGGCCACATGCGAACCCTGCCCCTACCCCCCACGATTTCTGAGGGGGAGGGTGGGGTTCACTTCGCTCGGGAGCTCCCGCACGAAGTGAACCCCACCCTCCCCCTCAGAAATCGTGGGGGGTAGGGGGCAGGGTTCGCATGTGGCCCCCTGAAGCTGCCCACCTTTACTGTGCGGGTTGACTGCACCTTCTCGGAGTGGGCAGAAGTCGATGACTCTCAGAGCCTTGGACGCCCGAGTTATCCGGGGTAACTCGGGTCCGGGGTAACTCGGGTTCGGATTCCCGAAAAACGACCCCGAGTTAGCCCTGACCCGAGTTACCCCCGATGCTTCGGGGCTCTGGACGCCCGAACTATCCGGGGTAACTCGGGTCCGGGGTAACTCGGGCTCGGATTCCCGAAAAACGAACCCGAGTTATAACCCTGACCCGAGTTACCCCCGATGCCTCGGGGCTCTCAGTGCCCGCGCTCATCTTCCCCTCCCTCTGCCCGCTGCGCTCACCTTGGCGCGCGCCGCCGGCTCCTGCTGCCCCTCCCGGAAGGCCTGCTGGATGGCGGCCAGGCCCTCGGCCTTGACCCGCTCCAGCTCGCAGGCGCTCGCCCGCCGGGCCACCTCCAGCTCGCGGGAGCTCGCCTGGGGAGAAGGAATACACCCTGCGAAATGCTTAAGAAATCATGGGTTAAGAAATTCATAGTCTCAGATTTTGAATAAAAACCGAGAATTTCTATCAAAATCTTGGGATTTACACTGAAACGTTGAGAATAATCGAGACTCTGGCCGAAAACTTAGGTTTTCTTAAGCATCGCCTGGAGTGTAGGCGATGGGAAAACGCCATGCCCACAGACTCGTGGCGCTCCGCGCGGCTTTCCTGGATCTGCGCTGGACCCCCCTCCCTCGCGCGCGGAGCGCGCCAGGGGCGGCGCCGGAGGCGCCGCCAGGGGGCCCCAGCGCGGATCCAAGCAATCCGCGCGGAGCGCCAAAAGTTTATGTTTACGGCGTGTTTTTCTCTTCGAAGGAAGCGCACCACCAGCACTCCGGGCAGCTTCACGGACCACCGCCGCCGACGCGGGGCCGTCAACCAAACGACTCAGGATGACAAGCCGGCCCTGGGGGAAGGGCCGGGACTTCCAGGGACCCCGCGCTGAAAAGTTCAGGACGTCGCCTGTCTGGGAACGCACCACCGCCACTCCGAGCAGCACCACGGGCCACCGCCGCCGAGAGTCCGTCGACGGGGCGCCGACACCCACTCTGGGCGCTGGCACGCCCGAGAGCGCCACACCCAGCACGCTGCGCGACGCGCGCAGGGGCGTGCCTCGCTGCCCGGGGGCGTCGGTCCTCCTCCGAGGGGTGCTCGGCGGCCACGGCCCACGCCTCTCTGCGGAAGCACCACCCGGAGGATGGATGGAGGAGGAGGAGGAGGAGGAGGAGGAGGAGGAGGAGGAGGAGGAGGAGGAGGAGGAGGAGGAGGAGGGGAGGGCCTCGCGCGCGGACCGTCAGGGCCGGGCTCCTCTCTTCTGAACCGCCCACGCCTCTCTTCTGAGGGTGACCCGGGGTGGTGGTGGCGGTGCATGTCGCTTCGGGCTCTCGCGGGGCATCGCGTACACCCGCATCCCGCACACCGGCGCATGCTGAAGCCCCCCCCCCAACGTGGTGGTGGTGGCGCGCTTCCCGCTCCCAATCGCCTGGCGGGCCTGCTCCAGCTCGGAGGCGGCGCTCGCCTGGACAAAAAGCCGATGGGGAGGGGGGGGCTGGCCGAGGGGGAGGGGGCTCGAAGAGCAGCAGTGGTTGCACTTCCAGGACCCACGAACAGCCAGAGGTCCGCGCGGATCTCTTGGATCTGCGTTGGGCCCTCCTGGCGGCGCCTCCAGCACAGCTCCTGGCGCACTCCGCGCGCCAGGAACGGGCTCCAGCGCCGACCCAAGAGATCCACACGGACCTCCGAGAGTTCATGCTTGTGTATGTGCTTCTTCCTCGAGACGCGCCGGCGTGGAGTTAAGTCGGGCATGTCCCCCTAGAGGCCGATTTTCGACGAAAAATTAGAAATACTCAAAAATACTCCCAAATTGTCAAAACAAACTAGAGAAGTGGTCCCTAAATCATTTTTGAACTATTTTTGAATATTCCTCCTGTAGAGGGACAGGCCCGACTTCAACCTGGAGTCGACGATGCACCGCCGATGGATCGGCGATGAGCTCCCAATGGCAGCAGCGCGCGCTCGGGCGCAGAATGGAGGACTCGAGAGCCGAGCGATTGGGGGCCAGTGTCCCATCACCACCACCATAAGTTGGAGGGGGAGGGGGTCCTCCTCCTCCTTCTCCTCCTCCTTGTCCTCCTCCTGCTCCTCTTCCTCCTCCTCCTCCTCCTCCTCCTCCTCCTCCAACTTATGGTGGTGGTGCTGGAAAACAGGCCCATCAATTTGGGGCCAATGAAGCCATCCCAGCCTGGCGCTCAAGAGCGGAGGCTGGAGAAGGCACCTGAGCTCCGATATTGCGAGCGAGGTCCAGCATTGCGAAACATCGCGACGGACCATCTTCTCTGGCACTCTTCGTGCTGGTCCTGGGGCCCGAACCTGGTCGAAAACGCTCGACATGAATCCGGTTGTAAGGTCCGGGTTTCCGAAGAGCCGCCCCCGCCTCCCCCCACTTTCGGCGCCCCCGGCCCACCTGGCGACTGATCTCGCCCGCTTCATCGCTGCCGGTCGCCTCCGCCGCCGCCATCTGCGCGAGCGCCTCGGCCGGGTCCGCCCCGTACGCCAGATGCAGAAGCCCATCCTCCCCCAGGTGCCTCTCGAAGACTGCCGAGACGGACTCCTCGGCGAGCTATCCAAGTTAGCGGGGGGCGGAGGAGCTTTAGGAGGCAACTCCTGGAAGGTCTCCGTAAGAACGACGAAGGGCTATGAATCCCGATTAGCGGGCCACGGACCCCGATTGGCCCAGGTTGAGCAGGATTGAGCGGGAGCCCGATTGGCCCAATACTACGCCAGATGAAGCGGAATTGAGCGGGCTTCGCCAATATTGGACAGCATTATGCCGGTTGAGGCCAGTTTTCGTCCGCGGAGATGCGGTCGGGAACGCTGTCTCATCGTGACGCCGCGGCGGCCCGACGACACGCGCTGCCTTGCAAGCGGATAGCATGTCGCGCCGCTCCGCGGGGCGAGAGGCTGAGGAAAGCACGGGACGTCGACGCTCGAGGACTGGTGCGTGGATGGCGTGTCGCACCGCAGCACGGTGGGCCAGAACCCGAGGCGGGACACGCCATCCAAAAGTTCATCACCGTATGCAAGGGCGCCTGACATCGCGCTTCGCGCTGCGCGAAGCGCGAATCACTTCGCGCCCTGGCGCCCCCCCCCCCCAGAGAGAAGAGGAGGCCGAGGAAAAATCGGAGCCGAACCGCGAAGCGCGAATCCTTTCGCGCCATCGGGGGCGCCCTTGGTGCACCAGCGCCAGCGCCAATGCCGAAGTGCACCTCCCAGGAGCTGCACCCCAAGCCGCTGCGGTGCGGCGCCGGCCGGCTGGCGAGCCGCGGGACGCGCGAGCGCTCGGCATGCTGTCACGCGCGCACACCGCGCTCGAGCTGGAAGCCGTGTCGGGATCACACCGGCGATCGGCCCAGAGAGTGCCCTTTCGTGTCCGTGCTGTGTCCGTGGCCCCTCGCGCTGTCTTCCATCCGCCTCCGCGCCCAGACCGAGTCGAGGCGGAAACGACCCACGAAATCGCCCGAGCGCCGTTTATGACTACCTACCAGACCACCCCAACCCAACCCGAAGGCACGAATTTGACCCGAATTTCGGGTTTGGGGGGGTACGGGGACCATGTGTTTGTTCGACGTTCCCCGATCCCCCCCCACTGGAAATGGAGGGCAAATTGAGGCCTTCGGGTCGGGTTGGGGTGGTTTGGTGGGTGGTGACGTTTAGGGCGACCCCTTTTGTCTCGCTCCTTTTCGCAACCAGCCTCGCGCGAAACCGATCCCGCCTCGGCGCACTCGGCCGTCCCCTCTTGTGCGCGGCGGCGCGGCTCTCCGACCCCCTCTCCCCTGTCCCCGCCCCCCTCGCTCAATGCAGCAGGCGCGCGTCCTCCTCCTCCTCCTCCTCCTCCTCCTCCCCCCTCTACCCCCTCCCCCCCTCCTCCCCCTCCTCCTCCTCCTCCCCCTCCTCCTCCTCCTCCTCCTCCCTCCCCTCCTCCTCCTCCTCCTCCTCCTCCTCTCCTCTCCTCCTCCCCCTCCCCCTCCACCCCTCCCCCTCCCCCCTCCCCCTCCCTCCTCCCCCCTCCCCCCCTCCCCCTCCCCCTCCCCCCCTCCCCCTCCCCCACCTCCCCTCCCCCCCCTCCCCCCTCCCCCCCCTCCCCCCTCCCCCCCTCCCCTCCCCCTCCCCCTCCCCCCTCCCCCTCCCCCTCCTCCTCCTCCTCCTCCTTCTCCTCCTCCTCCTCTCCTCCTCCTCCTCCTCTCCTCCTCCTCCTCTCCTCCTCCTCTCCTCCTCCTCCTCCTCCTCCTCTCCTCCTCCTCCTCCTCCTCCTCCTCATGACGCTGGACGAGGAGCGAGATCCCGACGCCCCGTGCCCCAGGAGCCCCTCCTTTGCGGCGCACTCCGCCGCCGCTCCACCGCACCTAGCTCGAGGAGCGCCATCCTCTGCGGCCCCCTCCCCCCGCGGCGGCCACCACGGGACGGAGGAGGAGGAGGGGGAGGAGGAGGAGGAGGAGGAGGAGGAGGAGGAGGAGGAGGAGGAGGAGGAGGAGGAGGAGGAGGAGAGCAGCCCAGCCGGCGCGCAGCAGCGCCCCCCCCCCGCACGGGCGGCACCGCGCCACGGCCGTCTTGCTGCGACGAGACACGCTGGACAAGGACAAGGAACGAGGAGGCTCCTCATGGCCACGGCGAGCCACGGCCGCGAAGAGGCTCCCCGACCCGGATCCCGGGAACGGCCCGACAGCCATAGCTCCTCCCGAGCCCAACGCGGTGTGCACTTCAGCGGCTGGGCTGTCTGGGTCCGTTGGGCCGTGGACCCGGGATCTGGGCTGGGCCGACACCCCGCCAGCCCTTCCGGCGCGGGCGGTTTGGGCGCACCAGCTCTTCCAAGCACTGCATCTGTGCCCCATCTGGCAGCTGTCGTGAGCCTGGAGAGAAGGTGCCGCGACGGGCTCAGAGCACGCACGGTGGCCCCGGACTGCGTCAGAGCCCCTCCTGAGCCAGCAGGGGCCCCTGCTGCAGCGTCTTGACCTTAAGAGGCCCTGGAAACAACAACAGGGCCGTTTTTCTACGGGTTCCGTTTCGCCGTTTGTTTGCCGGCTCCGACGCCGTTTTTTACCGGTTCCGTCGCCGTTCTTTTACGGGTTCCTGCTCCGGTTCCAATCCTGGAACCGTTTCTGTTGCCGTTTCCGGTCGCCGTTTTTTTGCCGTTTCCATTTGCAAGGGACACTTTTTCGGAAACGGTGAAAACTACGGCCCTGCCATTTCCGGGGCCCACCAAGGTCTGGACCGCATACGGGGCGGGTGCGGAAGGCACATCGGGACGTCGGACGCCCGCGGGGGCGGCAGGTCGCCGCCGTCGCCAGACTTACGCCGCGCTCCCGTTCCCCCACGCGCGCCCGAGGCGCGGCGGCAGACGCGGCGCCGACTGGAAGAGCGGGTCGGCCGATGCAGGAGGAGGAGGAGGAGGAGGAGGGGGAGGAGGAGGAGGAGGAGGAGGAGGAGGAGGAGGAGGAGGAGGAGGAGGAGGAGGAGGAGGAGGAGGAGGAGGAGGAGTGGGAGGAGGAGGGAGAGGATCGGGTGCTGCCAGAATTGCCCCTGGCAAGGGGTGCCCCCAGGAGTTCCAAGGAGGCCTCGAAGGCCTCGAGAGCACCCCTCGCGAGGCCCAGGGGGCCTGAGGCTCCAAAATGGAGCGAACAGCTGGGGGCACCCTCTGGGACAGGGGCACCTCCAGCAACCCCCGAAAGGAGGGTACGAGGAGGGAAGAGGGAGGAGGAGAACGAGGAGAACGACGAACGAGCAACACACACCCATACCCACAAGGGGGAATGTTGGGAGGAGGACTGGCTATGGGTATGGGTGCGGGTTGTCGGATCCTGGGGGGTGCTTCCTTTCGACTGGGGACCCCCATCCGACAACACGCACCCATAGCCCCCTCCGTCCCACCTATGGGTATGGGTGCGTGTTGTTCGTTCGTCAGAGAAGGGATGAGGAGGAGGAGGGGGAGGGGGAGGAGGCGGGCTCCGACGTCGGAAATCCGGCAGTCGCTGCCGGGGGGCAGTGAACGTGGGGTGGAACAACGCGCACCTTGGGCCCGCTGTGGCAGCTCGGATCCCCCCTCGTGCACTGACTCCCCCCCCCCCCCCATTGCCGTCCGTCGCGGGGAGCGGCCCCTCAGAGGGAGGTCGGGGCGCGGGGCCCCCGCGGCGAGTCCTCGGGAGACAGCTGCACACCGTCGGCGTAGAGGCTGATCCCGTCCCACTCGTCGGCGGGCATGCCAGGGGGGCTGAGGCGCTGGCGCCGTCGTCGACTTGTCACCCTAAACGGCCAGGGAGCGGGGAGTGCAGGAGCAGCCAAACTCACTCTCCCCAGGCAGGCACGAGCAAGACTGGCACACATCCGCCACCTGCCGAGATCCCGGAACATCGGCTGCCCAGGCGGTAGACATGATAGCTCCCAATCTAGGACGATCCTCGGGGACGACCTCCCGAGTGAATCCAGGGATCCCGTCAGCCTTGTTTTGCCTGCCTCCCCTGGGCAGCCCTGTGCGGCTGCCTGCTGCTAGGAGGGGCCCGTCCGAGAGGACCTTCTTGCATCTGGCCCGGGCTTGACGCGCCCAGGCGAAAATCTCGTCCAACTCGTGTCTGCCGGGTCTTGAGGCAAAGGGGCGGGCGCAGGGAACGAGCGCGCAAGGGATGACCCCGCGTCGGCACACAAGATTCGGAGGAGGAGGAGGAGGACGACGACGACTCGAGCACAGAGGGAGGAAAGAACGACGAGGCGACAGGGGAGGGAAACGCACGGCACCTGTTGGAACCGGACCCCCCCCCTCCCTTCCTCTCCTCTCTCCTCGGGCCGGCGCCTGCCTCGGCGGGCGGCTGGCGGCGGCGGCGGGGCCGACGATTTCCTTTTCTGGGTTGGCGCCTTGCCTGCACCGGCGGGCGGCGGCGGCGGCGGGGAGCGTCGACGAGGACGACGGTGGCGGTGGTGGTGGTGCTGGGTTGTGGTGGTGGTGGTGGTGGTGGCGGTGGTGGTGGCTGTGGTGGTGGTGGTGGTTGTTGTTGTTGTTGTTGGTGGTGGTGGTGGTGGTGGTGGTGGTGGTGGTGGTGGTGGTGGTGGTTTGTAATGGTGATGGTGGTGGTGGTGGGTTGAGGTGGTGGTGGTGGTGGTGGTTTGGTGGTGGTGTGGTGGTGGTGGTTTGTGGTGGTGGTGGTGGGTTGTGGTGGTGGCGGTGGTTTGTGGAGGTGGTGCTGGTGGTGGTGATGGTGGTGGTTTTTGTGGTGGTGGCGATGGTGAGTTGTGGTGGTGTTGTTGTTGGTGGTGGTGGCTGTTGTGGCGGTGGTGGTGGTTGTGTGGTTGATTGTTGTTGTTGTTGTTGTTGCTGCTGCTGCTGCTGTTGTTGTTGTAGTTGGTGGTGGTGGTGGTGGTGGTGGTGGTGGTGGTGGTGGTGGTGGTGGTGGTGGCAGTGGTGGTAATCGTCGCTGCGTCCCCGTTGTCGCCGGCGCGAGCGCCGGTGCTGCTGGCCGCCGCCAGCGCCAGCGCCAGCGCCGGCGCTGGCGCCAAGAGGGGGGGGATTGAACCCCCCCACCCCCACGTGAGCTGTTTCTGGTCATCGTCGCTGCGTCCCCGGCGTCGGCGCTGCTGGCGGCCGCCAGCGCCGGCGCCAGCGCCGGCGCCAAGGGGGGGGGGGGTTGAAGCCCCCCCCCTCCCCCCTTGGGAGGGGAGGATGGGAGGGGGGGGTTCGGGAGGGGGGAGGTTTGGGGGGGAGGGGAGTCCCCCTGGTTTTGATCGACGGCGCCGAGTGTTGGGGGGGGGGCCCACCTCCCGGTTCGAAACGCGACGCCGAATGTTCCCAAGGCAAACGCCCGTGAAACGCGCTCTCTCCGTTCTCCGAACCCGTGGAAGGATGAGGACGAGGAGGCGGAGTAGGAGGAGTAGGAGGAGGAGGAGGAGGAGGAGGAGGAGGAGGAGGAGGAGGAGGAGAAGCAAGGAGCAGGAGGGGGAGGAGGAGGAAGAGGAGGAGGAAGAGGACGAGGACGAGGAGGAGGAGGAAGAGGAGGATGAGGAGGAGGCGAAAGAGGAGGAGGAGCAGGAGGAGAAGGGGGAGAAGGAGGAGGAAAAAGAGGAGGCGGAGCAGGAGGAGGAGGAGGACGAGGAGGAGAAGGAAGAGCAAGAGGAGGCGGAAGAGGAGTTGTGCCACCATTGGGCAGTTCCGTTCGGCTGCTCCTGGCCCACCCGTTGGCCCTTCGGTGGCCCGCCGACCACGGCGTTGGTACACGAAGGCCTTCAGCTGCCTACAGAGCATGGCCCGGCGGCTTGAACTGAGGCCGCATGGTGGTGCGAGCACACGCACAGCTTCTCCTCCTCGTTATCCCTCCTCCCTTTCCTCCTCCTCCTCGTTCTCCTCCTTTTCCTCCTCTTCCTCCTCCTCTTCGTCCTCCTCCTCCTCCTCTTCCTCCTTCTCCTCCTCCTCCTCCGTTTCCTCCTCCTCCTCCTCCTCCTTTGTCTCCTCCTCCTCGTCGTCGCCGTCGTCCTCCTCCTCCTCCTCCTCCTCCTCCTCGTCCCTCCTTGTCCTCCCTCCTCCTTCACTCACCAAACACATGCGCGACCTCGGCGCACACACAAGAACGAAGAAAAAGAAACATGGCTCGCCCGTGCGACGAGGATCCCGACGCAAACGACGCCCCAGTGCGGCACGCATCTCCGCAACAAATGTAGCAAAGCTGCCTTGCTTGGGCCCAACCCGCTCGAACAAAGCATGTGTGCCCCGCATGGGGCCTGGATTTCAGGCGAGGGCATGTGCTGCTTCTGTTCCACAGCAGCGTGGCGCGCTCTCGGCACCAAGAGGCCTTCCAGAGCCTGGGTAGACCGGGGCTCCCACGCCCCAGTGGTCCATCCCGAGTATGGCCTGGAGCCGCAGAGGAAACATCCTTGAGCGCCTCTCTTGCGCTGACGGGCATGAGCGTCAATAGTGGCTGCGCGTTCGCACCTTTGGGCCAGGACGCCGGATGCCTCCCGAAACAGAAGCTCCGCAGGTTGCTGACAAGGAGGGCAACATCGCTATTGGGAGGCTGCGGCGGCGGTGCGGATGGGAAGACAGCGAGACCGCCTGCATCTGGTGGCCCTGGGGAGCCGCGCATGCGACCAGCTCTCCCTCGATCTCTGGCACGGTTGGGAGCCGACGCGGTGGCCGCTATCTGCCCGCTGGCGATTTCCTCCCTGGCGCTCTCTGCCCCACAAGGCCCAACTAACCCTCCACTCCCTCCCACTCCCTCCCGAGACCCGCGAGGGGGGTGAAAGAAAGCGGGCCAAAAGTTTCTGAGTCGGCCAATCTGACTTCTAGGATCGCAGAGCAACGAGCAAATACGGCCACAACTTTTTGCATGCCGTCGACTATGTCCTTGGCGTTTCGTGGATCTGGGTGCAAAGCGGCCCCTTGGCCAGCATAAACATATGCCGCCCGTTTAGAACCCATGAGAACACCGAACTACGACCTTCTGCCACCGCACTGAAAAGGAAAGTGGGCCTTCACCATCATAGCCCGCGCCCGGGACAAGGCCCGTGGAACTCTCCCCATACGTGGCAGCTGGGGTTGGAAGGGCGACAGCTCCGACTAACATCAGGCCTGGCGTCCACCGTTCCTGGTCAATCACTGTGCAAAGTGGCGTTTCCTGGGGCAAACCCTCTTGCCGCCACCGTGCGCGCCACCTCTTCCCCACCGCTCGCCGACTGGAGAGTCCCCGGGTGTCGCGGGGCCGCGCCGTACGCAGCTGCTCATGCAATGGCTGCATCACTTAACTGGACCAGCCCATGTGTGAACACAGAAGCCGCCACGTAGCCAAGCGATGGCATGTGGACCCAGGTGGTCAAGCTCCATGGGACACGAGGAAAAACACAAGCCACCAGGTCATGGACAGCTGCCGCTGCAAGACCGCTGCCGCGGTTAATGCGCATGGGAAACATGATTGGCCCTGGCCCCTCGTCAGTGGTCACAACAGAATACGCGGTGCCATGCTGCGCCGGGCATTCTTTCACAACGCTGGCACGAATCCCTATCTGACTTGCCGTGGCAGGCCTGCGTGGCCAGACTCCAGTGCTGCTGGCAGATGAGCGACCTTGAAAGACTTTCTGCGGCTCTCCATCCAATCGTCCGGCGAGGGGGGCTGCCGGGAAAATGAGACTTTGCCCTGGCAAGCTCCCCCTGCATCTGCCCGAACGCCATTGCACTTGAAAGACAACCAGGAACTCTCGAAGCCGAAGCCGTCTACTGGGCCTGTCATGGCGCCGACGCTCTCAGGTCGACAGTTCAGCCTCCGTTAGCTCCTGGATAGGGAGGAGGACTGCATGACCGGGAGAACAATCAACGGTCTATGGCTTCTTGGCCTGGCTCAAGTCTGCCGCCCCTTGCCAGCGCGCTCGGGGGAGCGCGCGGAGGCCTGCAGAGCCTGACCGCGCGAGCCCACCGTCCACGCACTTGCGCACTATACAGGCGCAGGGGGCCCATCTGGTCCCCTACCTTGGCGGCCCCAACGTCGAGCACTATGGAACCTCCTTCCTTCTGCCTGGGAAAGCCACGCACGGCGGCCCGTTTCAGACCATGAAGCCGCCCCCTCGTCAGTCAAAACATTCCTGGACCCCGCAGGGCTGCGGCCTGCGGCCCCGCTCCCTGGGTTCCTCCAACATTTGCTCCCGCTTTCATGGATCTAATCAGCTTCGAGGGCCGTCGTGAATATGTGCGCGGGCGCCTCGAGGCAGCGGCCGTCGCCCTGTCTCTCGTTGGCACGAGAGCCACTGCCTAGCGACTTGGTCACAGACTTCCCTGGTAGCACTAGTTCAGGCCTGCGCGCAATTAGTTCTTCAGCGCGCTCCAACGGCGATGAAACAAAGTGCGCCGTTTTCACTGCAAGCACAAGCTCTAGCTTCTGGTGGCCCGCAGCCAGGATGCGCCACGGTTTGCCAGGCTGCCCCGCCCCCCCCCCCCCTCGAACTTGAAGATGCCAAGCACCTGTAAGTGTGCGGCGCCCACAACGTTGCGGGCCATGACTGCGGGCGCTGTCTCGCCAGCGACGCGAGCGGCACGGGCGCGGCGACTTTCGCCGTCGCAACTGCCGGCAAGCGCCCTGGAAATACTGCGCCATCCCAATAGGAGACCGGCGCAGTCGCTAAAAAAAGGCAAGCGACCCCCATCCATCATCGGGGTCGGCATGCCAGCGGGACAAGCTGCATGGGGAAGGCGCCCCCTGCCCCCTGGGCCAGAAGGTGAACGCGCGAGGTCG